CAGGGGGTCTCTGGTCACTCACCTGAGCCCCTCCCCAGCACCTCTGGTGTCTCTGGGGGTCCCAGGGGGTCTCTGGCACTCACCTGAGCCGCTTCCCAGCACCTGGGGGATCCCAGGGGGTCTCTGGGGGTCCCTGGGTCTCACCTGAGCCCCTCCGCAGCACCTGGGTGGTCTCTGGGGGGTCCCAGGGGGTCTCTGGGGGTCCCAGGGGGTCCCTGGGTCTCACCTGAGCCCCTCCCCAGCACCTGGGGGAGTCTCTGGGGGGTCCCAGGGGGTCTCTGGGGGTCCCAGGCACTCACCTGAGCCCCTCCCCAGCACCTGTTTGCGCTGGCGGTGGACGAGGACCCCGAGGTTCGCAAGAACGTCTGCAGGGCCCTGGTGATGCTGCTGGAGGTGCGGATCGACCGCCTGATCCCCCACATGTACAGCATTATACAGGTGAGTCGTTAACTGTACCTGTGAGTGTACCTGTATCTGTATTGACTGCCTGATCCCCCACATGTACAGCATCATCCAGGTGAGTTACCTGTGAGTGTACCTGTACCTGTATCGACCGCCTGATCCCCCACATGTACAGCACCATCCAGGTGAGTTACCTGTGAGTGTACCTGTACCTGTATCAGCCAGGTGAGTCAGTCTGGGGGTTACCTGTACCTGTATCTGTACCTGTATCGACCGCCTGATCCCCCACATGTACAGCATCATGCAGGTGAGTTACCTGTGACTGTACCTGTGATTGTACCTGTGACTGTACCTGTATCGACCGCCTGATCCCACACGTGTACAGCATCATGCAGGTGAGTTACCTGTGACTGTACCTGTACGTGTACCAGGATCAGCCAGGTGAATCTGGTGTCACCTGTACCTGTACCTGTACAGCATCATCAAAGTAAGTCTGTACCTGTACCAGCCAGGGGAGTCTGGGGGTTACCTGGGCACAGGTGAGTCTGGGGTCACAGTACAGCATCATACAGGTGAGTCACCTGTACCTGTGACTGTACCTGTATCAGCCAGGTGAGTCACCTATACCTGTACAGCATCATCCAGGTGAGTTTGTACCTGTATCTGTACCTGTGCCTGTACCTGTACCAGCCAGGTGAGTCTGGGGGTTACCTGTAGCTATACTCGTACCTGTACCTGTACCAGCCAGGTGAGTCTGGGGGTTACCTGTACCTATACCCATACCTGTACCTGTACCAGCCAGGTGAGTCTGGGGGTTACCTGTACCTATACCGTACCTGTACCTGTACCAGCCAGGTGAGTCTGGGGGTTACCTGTACCTATACCAGTACCTGTACCTGTACCAGCCAGGTGAGTCTGGGGGTTACCTGTACCTGTACCAGCCAGGTGAGTCTGGGGGTTACCTGTACCTATACCTGTACCTGTACCTGTACCATCCAGGTGAGTCTGGGGGTTACCTGGGTACAGGTGAGGGACTGGGGGTTGTCACCTGTACCTGTACAGCATTATCCAGGTGAGTCTGGGGTCACCTGTACCTGTGCCTGTACCAGCCAGGTGAGTCTGGGGGGTTACCTGTACTCAGCTGAGGGGTCTGGGGCACAGTTTGGGGTCACCTGTGCCCAGGTGAGGTGTCTGGGGCACGGTCCAGGGGTCACCTGTGCCCAGGTGAGGGGTTTGAGGTGTACTTTAGGTGTCACCTGTGCCCAGGTGAGGTGTCTGGGGTGTGGTCCAGGTGTCACCTGTGCCCAGGAGAGGTGTCTGGGGTGTCACCTGTGCCCAGGTGAGCAGTTTGGGGTGTACTTTAGGTGTCACCTGTGCCCAGGTGAGCAGTCTGGGGTGTGTTTCAGATGTCACCTGTGCCCAGGTGAGCAGTTTGGGGTGTGGTCCAGGTGTCACCTGTGCCCAGGTGAGCAGTTTGGGGTGTGGTTCAGGTGTCACCTGTGCCCAGGTGAGGTGTCCGGGGTGTATTTCGGGTGTCACCTGTGCCCAGGTGAGGTGTCCGGGGTGTGTTTCGGGTGTCACCTGTGCCCAGGTGAGGTGTCCGGGGTGTATTTCAGATGTCACCTGTGCCCAGGTGAGGTGTCCGGGGTGTATTTCGGGTGTCACCTGTGCCCAGGTGAGGTGTCCGGGCTGTATTTCGGGTGTCACCTGTGCCCAGGTGAGGTGTCTGGGGTGTATTTCGCTTGTCACCTGTGCCCAGGCGAGGTGTCTGGGGTGTGTTTCGCGTGTCACCTGTGCCCAGGTGAGCTCACCTGTCCCCTCCCGGCAGTACATGCTGCAGAGGACGCAGGACAGCGACGAGAACGTGGCGCTCGAGGCCTGCGAGTTCTGGCTGACGCTGGCGGAACAGCCGATCTGCAAGGACGTGCTGACGGCACACCTGGTGCAGTGAGTGACCCCAAACACCCCAAATTCACCCCAAATTCACCCGAAAATCCATCCCGAACCCCCTGTCCGACTGACGGCACACCTGGTGCAGTGAGTGACCCCGACCACCCCAAATTCACCCCAAATTCACCCTCTAAATCCATCCCGAACCCCCTGTCCGACTGATGGCACACCTGGTGCAGTGAGTGACCCCAAACACCCCAAATTCACCCCAAAATCCATCCGGAACCTGTCCTGAACACCCTGGTGCAGTGAGTGACCCCAAACACCCCAAATTCACCCCAAAATTCACCCCAAAATCCATCCTGAACCTGTCCTGAACCCCCTGATGCAGTGAGTGACCCCAAACACCCCAAATTCACCCCAAAACTCAACCCAAAATCCATCCTGAACCCCCAAATTCACCTGAAATCCCCCCAAATCCCCCAAATTCACCCCA